GAGTCGCATGTATTCAAGGCGCGCTACGTGGCTAGAGGCTTCAGTCAGCGCGATGAGGTGGACTTCTTTCACACCTTCTCCCCGACCCTGAAAATGACTACTCTTCGAGCGCAACTACATGTAGCAGTACATCGTGACTACGAGATACACTCCCTTGACTTCTCCACAACGTTTCTCCAAGGCAGTCTACACGAGCAAATCTACCTATGCCAACCGCAGGGCTTCACCAGTATTTTCCCTCGTGGGACCCAGTTGCTCCTCTGGCACCCGGTCTACGGCTTGCGACAGGCGCCCCGTGAGTGGCACGACACGATGTGTGCTAAGCTAGCTGATCTGTAGCTCGTTCTGTCCTGTGCCGACCCCTCGCTCTTCGTTTGTGCTGGCCAGAATCTCTTCTACATCCTTGTCTACGTAAACGACCTGGTCTTCAGAGGTTCGGTCTTCACTTCTCCTCCGCACAACCCACACCTCTGCCACTAGATCACAGGCTCTCTGCTCTATCTCTTGAAGAGTTAGTAGAGCCCGGTGGTCCTTACGCAGAGCTGGTGGGTTGCCTCATGTACCTGATGACTTGCACTCGTCCGGATCTCGCATACCCTCTCAGCATCCTGGCTCGCTTTGTGGCCACGGGCAGACACCGACCATAGCACTGGTCGGCCGCTAAGAGGGTTTTGCGTTATTTAGCAAGTACATCGGGCATGGGGCTAGTGCGGGGAGGACGCAGGCCAGTGGTCCTTACTGGGCACACAGACGCTTCTTGGGCAGACGACGCTGAGACCCTCATGTCCTCCCTGGGCTACTGCTTTAGCCTTGGTGCAGGTACCATCTCGTGGAGGTCCACTCGCTCCTCTTCTGTTGCCCAGTCTAGCTGTGAGGCTGAGATCTACGCCGGTGCCATGGCGGCACAGGAGCTCCGCTGGCTGACTTTCTTGCTCACCGACATAGGTGAGCGGCCTAGCTCTGCCCCGGTTCTGTACGCTGACAACAGGACCATGATCCTCCTGTATCAGGAGCCTCGACTTGAGGGTAGAGCGAAGCAAATCCAGCTGCGGTACTTCCTCCTGCACGAGCTACAGCAGTGTTGCCAGGCCCGCGTAGTACCCTTGGCCTCTGGTGCCAACACAGCTGATATATTTACTAAGGCGCTTGCGCCTAGAGTTCATCAGCGGCACTTTTGTCTAGTTCCTGTAGACTCTCACTTGCTAGGACCTTGAGTGTGTACTCCTCTTTATATATATCTTTCAGACTGGCCTTGTGGCTTCTCTTCCAGTGGCCGGAGTAGTAGTGCTGCCCTGGTTTGCTCCTCTCTTGTTTGTACTCTTGCTGAGTGGTCTTCGAACCCGTGTCTTAGGGGTTGGACTTGAAGTGCCACCCAGAGTTGTGTGCTTCTTGCTGAGCACTACCCCTTATCTAGCCTAGGGGGTGTGTCGACTTATACATGCATTTGCATGTAGAAGTTATAGGCTAGAATAGGTGTGTGTTCTTAGAGAGTACAACTCAAACCCTATATCTCCCTTGTTCTCTCTTATTTCTAATTATTCTAGCATTCTAACAAGAAGATGTAGTGCAGATTGCTTTTGAAAGCATCGTGGCTCCCTGCTCGGTGCACGCGACGAGGCGGGATAGTCGTGAGAGTGCCAACCCTGATTTTCATGGTGCTTTATTGGGACCAACACTGATAAATCAGCGTGACCTAAAACCTATCATAGCGCATGTTTCAATTGTCTAACTCGTCTATCATTCCTTGTCAAAGTTCTGAAGTCTAGAAGGATGTAATCTTACTTATTGTGCTACGACTTGCAAGCACTGACTGCTATTTTTTTCACTTTAGCACTAATTTTTTACTTCATTTACTCGTATCTGCTGTTTCAATACTTGGCCTCTTGCAGCATTCATTTACATTCTAAGACTTCCGCTGTGCTACAAGCACAATATTTCAAGGAATTAGTCTCTGCCAAAGATTCATGGGCTGCAAAGATCCAAGAAAAATCATTTCGAAACACACTAATGGTCTATAAAACACGATTATGTATGTCAAATAGTGTTCAAAATGCGTAATTTGTTTAACACCTTCTTAATAATTTGACTAATGCATCGTTTTTACATTGATGCGTAGTCCCTTTGCAATGATATATTTCATACAGTGTTGAAGGAGCACTTCCACAAATAGGCATAATAGAGAGCAATAAGAGTAAGTTTCAAAAATATTGGATGCTGCATTGTATGAATCAATTCTCAATCTGTAAGTCACTTCAAAAGCACAACAATGCGTTAGTTGGCCTTGTTCCCACAGCGGCACGCATGCTTTCTCCATGCCATCCACAAGTTCCACCGTGCAGTGTTAATTCGTCGCCGATTTGCCGCCACTCTTGGCACAATCGAACCACAACCGCCCTAAGCCAGCACAGCAAGGACGGTGTGGTGGTGAGGGATTTGCTGCAGCATTTGGTGGCAATTTGTTTGCGGGACGGTCGCTTCCCAACAATCCCTAAAGTTTTGAAATATCTGCAAAGGTTCTACCAGGTAGCTACCCTACTTGATAATGGCAATTTTACCAAGTGGGTTCTCTCCTTGCCAGCAAACATTCTCATACCGACAAGTTCTGCCCGGATTAGTAGCAGTTACTGTAGTTGATTACAGCAGGAGCCTCCCAAAGCTCGAGCATACTTGTACAAAAAAATCCCGACATAGGGTTTCGGTGAGAAATTATTCTGGGTAGTGTACACTATATCTTGCTTTGGGCCGCGAGTGTTACAGGAGCCCTACGATTCTCACGAAAATACAATAGAACATGTCAACATTCTCTGCTTGTGTGGCTCTGATTAAGAGTGCCCACGAAGCACGATGTGAGAGAATCTGTATTGGATCATGCCTTCGATAGTGAGAATTTGACAATTTACCAATCAGAGACGGCCCATTTATTGCACTCGGACTAAAGCCGCAGTAGTGCCTAACTCCACTTGTGTAGTTATGCTACATTTCACTTTATAACAGGCCTCTCGCTAATTGGGTAATTACACTCCATGCCAAAAACTAAGAGTAATGTTTCCAATGATTATGTATTTTTACGGTGCAATTGTTTGCCGAATCCGTCCAATCTATGGAAATGATTCCGTAAGATTCCTTCGCCTAGCGAGTAACCTTTTTTTGGAATACTTTAGAGGTATGCTTGTTGTTGGGCTGAGAAAAAACCCTAGGATCTTTTCAGAGACTAAGTCCCACTTGTACGAGGTGCTTGAGTAGTGCAGCGGAAGTGTTGAGTAGTTGAACCCTTGCACTAGTTTGTGAGAGCAAGTGATTGATTAAAAGAAACAAGCATACAGCAATATATGGAGAATAGGAAATAGAGCAGTAGTAGAATACAGTTGAAGAATCGGTTATCGAGT